CTTTCTGGGAATTTACCCCATAAAGCAATCCCACTTGTGAGCAAAGATACCCACTGGCTGTTCATTGCAGCAATGACTGTAGCAGAAAGTTACTGGAAACAATCTGAACATCTATCAACTGACAACTGGATAAATTAATTGTGTTACCTTCATGGATACCTGTGCCTACTAAAAAGACCCATGGCCAGTGCAGAGCTCTTGTCTGTAATCCCAGGAATTTGGGAGGCCAAGGCAGGAGGATGGCTTGAGGCCAGAAGTTCAAGACCAGCCTGAGCCATCAAGTGAGACCAGTATCTAAAAAAATAATAAAAGATCGGAGAAGCTCTTCTTTATGCCCTAGAGCAGCAGTTCGGGAGGCGGGGGAAGGGGGCTGATTTCACTCCCTAGGGACACTGGGTAATGTCTGGGGTCATGTGTGGGAGCCCTGGCTGGGGGTGCTCCCAGCACGGAGTGGGTGGAGGCCAGGGACACTGCTTGGCACCCTGCAGTGCCAGGACCGCCCCACCCCAGACAACAATTGAGTTCCAAATGTCAACAGTGCCCGGGGGAGGATTCCAGCTCGACTGTGATCTCCAAGGCATATTTAACAAAAACACAGTACACAGAATCATGCAGAGAATCACCCATTTTGTTTCTTTGCATAGAGACACGATCTCACTATGTTGCCCAGGCTGATCTGGAACGCTTGGCCTCAAGCGTGATCCTCCTGCCTTGGCCTCCCAAAGTGCTGGGACGACAGGCGTGAGCCACTGTGCCCGGCCTGTATGTGTGCTTTTAAAGGAAAGGCAGGCACGTACTTTCGGGAAGGGACACAAAGAGTCAAAGACAGTCCCTGTCTCCGGGGAGGGGGGCTGCAGGTCCCGAGGAAACTGACTTTTCACCCCACCCTTCCAACTCTACACCTTGTCCACCAAGAGGTCTCTGAAAAGCGCTCTGGCTGCAAAAGTCCCTGGTCCCTGGGCTATCTGGCGAGGGCCCCGGGTCGACATCCTCGGGACGGGCCTCTTCCTCCTCTCCCCCCCCCCCCCGCCGCTGGAGGGGAGGGAAGGAGGAGAGGGGTGCACCTGGGGGGTGCATCTCCCCTCCTCCCAGGGGCTCTGCCCAGTCTCGGGGGGGGGCCGACGCCCACAGGGCTGGCAGGGCCCGGGCCAC